GGGACTTGGGCGGTGCTCAACATGACTCAACAGCCAGGCTTTTTGTGCTGAAGACATTGCTTGACAGCAGCACTTGAAGTTCGTGCACTTAGATGAATCTAGTGTGTCATCCATCCGGAGGCAGAACCCACAGTACCTGGGAGCAAAGTCAGGAGAGAGACTGCAGCTGGGCTGCAGCGGGCCTGGAACTGGCCCAAAGAACGCGAGACCGCTGAGAAACAGCATCAGGGACTCTTGCTGCTTTGAGTTTGACCCTTGGCAGATGATAACCTGCCGCAGTAATTACTGTATGAAATTGCTGTGATTTCTGCAAGAGTCCTGTAATTTCTTCTGGGGGGACACGAAAGCCCAAGCAGTCTGCATCTGAAGAGCCCAGTTAGTGGGGACGCCACTGGACTGCTGTGCTTTTTCTCCTCCCCTGCTGCTGCTTGCTCTGCTTCTGACACTGTAATGGAGACTTGTAAATTCTGTTGGACAAAACTTGTCCCTTATTTCACTGCAACGTGAGCAGTACAGCAGTGGGCACTCTAAACCCAGCAGTTTTCCTCAGACTTTAAAACAGGGCATCCTCTCTGTCTGTCAATCCCAGGAGTCTGCTTTGTTTGTTTTTATAATTGAATGCAGTTACTCTCACATTAGTAGAACAACATGATATCTAACAAGTAAATGCATCCACAGAAGGGCAGGGTGGTGTCTGGCTGCTTGGCTCTGCTGCGATGCATTTTTGGAGCTCAGTAAATACTGAGCAGGGATCAGAAGAGGCCCAATCCCTTGATTCTCTGGGGTAGATGTACTAAAGTTAAGGTACTTGTAAAGATGACAATTTAGACAACTCTGCCCAAAGGTACCAGCTGCTCTTCAGTTAATTTATGTCCTTCATCTGCTCATTCAGAACTCTTAAGTGGATTTAAACAATATGTCGTAGGAAATATTTGAATGAGTTGAGTGATTTTGACAAGTTCCAGCTGTCCAACAGAAGATGATGCCACAATTAGCAAAATTACAGTCCTTGGATTAGTTGTTGTGAATGCATCCATAAAGTTTTACTGTGCTTGCAGTTTTCTGGAAGGAGTCGCTGTGGGTGTCTGGATGCCCACGAGTGTTTCACCTTTACCAGTCACGTACTGCGGAAGTCGGGATCAGTTTTTAAACCCCTGCAGTGTGTTGCATGCACCCGCTATCGGCTTTACAAAGGCTGTGCTCTTACTGCTGCTCTTCTTATTCCTTACCTTATTTTGCAGGCTGACAGATCCCATCCCTACAACAGAAACTTCCATAGCACCCCGCCAGAGACCTAAAGCAGGACAGACACAGCCCAACCCTGGAATTTTACCCATTCAGCCAGCCCTGACGCCGAGGAAGAGACCCACGGCTCAAGCAGCCATTCAGCCCCAAGGTGAGACGGTGATCATTCCCTCTGCGGTGCCTTCCTGCCGCCAGGCTGTGGTGCACGTTGATTTAATGGATCTGTTGTGGTTTGGTTTTTTCTCTTTTCTTTCCACCAGTTGCAGGACCTGCTGCCCTGGTCAGTGGTCAGCCTTCGCTCCCTGCAAGTGTCCCCCAGCAAAAAGCAGCACCTCCACAGACTCCGGCACAGCCGCAAGCCAAGCAGGCACCCGCTCCGCAGCAGGCCTCGCAGGCGCAGCCCCAGGTCCCTTCTACTCAGCCACAGGCCACACCTCAGCATCAACAGCAGCTTTTCTTGAAGCAGCAGCTTCTGCAACAGCAGCAGCAGCAGCAGCAGCAACAGGCTGCCTATTATCAGCAGCAGCAGATGATGCAGGCTCAGCAGGTAGGTGTGCGTGCTCATGTTTGTTGCAGGCTTCCTGTGCTAGAGGCCTGAAAGGCTGTATCTTTGTCTTTATGGCAAGACTCCTTCTTTTTTGGGACATAGGTACAGTTTTTAGGCATTTTCCAATGCATCTCCAGTTCTCTAGCAAGTTTTTTTGCCACTCAAGGCTGTCACTTTTAACTGTCAACGTGGAAGGCCTTGAGGTATTTTTGTCATGTTCAAACAAGATGAGCAGTGCTGGTTAAGATTTTACGGCTCCAAGTGATTCAGGGTCTTGAAGTGAATGCTCAGCTGATGAGCAGAGGGGCAGAGTTTCCCTTCTGCTCTTTGACACGAGAAGCCTGGCATGCCTTTTCAGCGCTAAGATTCAGGTTTTGTGGTAGACTGCGGTGATCAGGAGGCCTGTGAACACATGATGTGTTAGACGGGGTGTGTCTAGATGACAGACTCGTGTGCTAAACTGAGGTGTTTATAGCAGCACAGATCTCTGCTAAAGCATATTTAATAGCAGAAGCAAAGGGACAGTAAATCTTCCTATCCTGGGGAAAGGTTTAGAATTTATAAAAATGGAGAAAGACGGGAGCTCTGTGCAGGCAGGTGTAACCCCGGATGAATTTAATGTTAGACCAGAGGCCGTTTTCCAGCACTCCTCCGCAGATGGTCTCCAAGCCATCGCAGACTGTTAATCCTTTGCTGCATGCGGTGGCTGTAACTGTTCCCATGGCTGGCCCTGAGTTCTGGTGGTGGTACCCCAGTTCCCACCAGCAACCAGATCAACAATGGGTTGTTTCCCAGTTCCCAGTGATGCAGCAAGGAGCGCCAGCACAGCAGCAGCTGATGCAGAACTATTACCAGCAGCAGCAACAGCAGCAGCAGATGATGGCCCAGCAGGCAGCGATGCAGCAGAAGACAGCAGTAGCAGCAGTCCAGCAGAAGCAGCAAGCCCCGGCACCGCCGCAGCCCCCGGCCCAGCCGAGCGCGGCCCAGCCGGTGCAGCCGCAGGAGCAAGTGGTAAGAGCCTCGTGGGAGGGAGGGGGCAGCGGTTCTGGAGCCTGGCACGTGCTCCCCTGCCTGCCCCTCTGCGCCAGAAACGCCCCAGCGCAGTGCCTGGTTTTTCAGACCCACAGAGCCCGGGTAGTTGGGGCTCTAGGACCTGCTGACCCCTGGTGAGTTATTACCGAGTCGCAGAGGTCGGCGCTAAACTCGCTGTGTCAGACACGTGCAGTTGTTTGGACTGCTCTTCCCGGTGGGATGCTGGGCTCTGGAGTTGTGGTCTGAGTCCATAGGAGGAAGATGAGTAGGTGATGAGTAGAAAGCAGGCAGGAAGATGTAAGTAGGTGCTTAATGCAGCTTCTCTCTATCCCTCCTCTGTCACGTTGCCTTAGAAGACATGTCATAAACTCTTTTGAAAAGTTGTTTGTGCTTAACACGTCAGGTTGGGCACCAGGCAACAGAACTGTTGCTGCTTGTTTTGAAAACTTCCATCTTGTGTTCAGGGTCTGATGCAGAGGGTGGTGCAAGCAGCTTCCTGGTTGTTTCTGGCATTTGGGTAACCTTTTTCATTTAGTACTATGGAGAGAAGACTTTTCAAAGTACTGTATCTAAAAATAAATAAGTCATCCACTTTACTAATCATCAGAATGTGTGTCCAAAATAAATGCTCTTAATGGAAAATGTGGCTGTCTACACCAGGGAAGTAGCCAGCTGCCCACAGTGTTCAAGGCAGGGGAGCTGTGCCAGAGGGCAGGATCCCCGTTGCCAAAGTGTCTCTGCAGTGCGTGTGGGAGGAAGCTGTGCCTTTTGCTTTTATTCCTGTGAAATCCCGTCCCCTCTTGCTTGGTTCTGGGAGTGCCAAGGGGTGTCCCTAACTCCAGTTGTGTGTAGAGAAGGAGGCATGTGCAGGAGGAAGCTGCCTGTTACTTTGCTGTACCAGGGTGCACATGTGCAGAGCAAAGGGTAGCTGGTAACAAACCCCCTCAGGTGCACACTGTTTGAGTCCAAACTAAGGGTCGGTTTGTGTTTGCTTGTTCCTGAGTTGCCAGTTATTCAGGACCTAACTCATCTCTTGAGCATGCTTCCTTTGAAGTGACATCAGGAGTTAATTTGACTAATAGACTCCATAAGCCAGTGACCTGAGCAATTCTGGGGAAGTATTGTTTGTTTTGCTCTGATGTGTCTCAAGGCTCTGTCACATTCATCCCCTTTGCTTTTATATTAATTTTCAGCACGAAGCTGGTTGTTAGGGAGGGTGACAGGCTTGGAGCTGTTGTGTTCCTGGTCTCGTTATTGTTTTGCTCCATGACCTGAGGCAAGTTATTTTGTTGAAATCGGTGGGAGATTTTTAAGTGCATGTAGACAGGTTTTGGATGAGACCATTATTACCCAGTTCCTTTTAGAGGAGAAATGCCTGAAATGTGGTGTTAAAGCGCATCTCTAAAGAGCTTTGCTGCGATTCACTAGCACAAAACCAGTCTTAATTTTATTAAATCAGCTAGATTGAAAATTAGCCTTATCCCCCCTGGATGGCTGATCAGAATGGACGCATGCTTCTCCACTCCTGCAGCTGTCGGAGGGGAAAAGCAGTAGTTGGCTCATTTTAAAAAATGATAGTGAGATAAGGTCTCTGCAGAGCAGAGTCTCTGAGCAGAAGGTACCAAGCCAGGACCCATCAAAACCTTTTCACATGGCGAAACTTCAGCTTAATAAGCCCTGCATTCATTTATGTGGCGATTTCAGCACTGCCCTTTTATTTCTCAGCACCAAATGTACTTTCTGCAATGACCTATATAGCAGGATGTAAGGTGGGTGCATCAGAAGCAGTCAGGTGAGCTTGCTTCTCCGCTGCAGTGAATTAGTCTGCCTGGAAATGCCAGATGAAGAACGAGACAGCTAACCACTTGTTTGCCTTGCCCCACTGGAGTTAAGCACCACACTGGGGAGGTAAATCTTTTTCTCATTGCCCTCTCTTAGGTCTTTCCAAGTCTTTCATCTGTCTTCCTTGGTTGAAAATGGCCTGGGATGGTCCAGGCTGGGGAACAGGGAGCTAGTGCCCAGGCAGAGGCGGTGGCATGCACATATTCCTGCTCTTTGCATTCTAGTTTTCCTGCTTTAAATCCCAGCCATAATATCGAACTGACAAACAGATTTTGAAAAAACAGATAATTGGAAGTGATGCTCTTGTTTATCGCTACAGAACAGTATTTCAAGTATTTATGGGTTTGTGAGTTTAATGCGAGACTGAGGTAATGGAAAAGGGAGATCAGTTTGAGGAAACCCTTGAAGTTTCCAAAAGGTTTGTAGCTGGGCTGCCTTGTCTTACGCTTAAACCAAACGTGCTGTTTTTCTCCTGCAGATTTTAATGACAAACATTGCTTCTGTGATCCTTGCTTTTCTCTTTTTTAACGTAAGAGAAAGCTAAGAAAGCTTTTTGCGCAAGATTCCTGCAGAAGACCTGTACTCCATTAGGGGTTTGCCCCCAGTCACATGTTATCTACTGGAAGGAACACTGCTCTTTACCTTACCCCCACTCCTCGTGTCCCTGTGAGGAGAGTCCTGCATACTATGATCTGATTTCTTCTTTTACCTCTGCCCTGGATTTCAGCCTCTTTACCCATGAGCAAGTTTGAGACCAGCTAGCCTTTAATGACATGTGCTAGTAGAGGCTTTGCCTCCAGAGCTGCACCATAGAAACAGGAGAGTCTCTGCCTGTATGGTTGTAGTTATCCTGAAATACTGTAGATCAGCGAATTCCCTCCTGCTCCCAATTCTTTTGGTTTGCTTTTCCCCCTCCAGACTGTCCCCAACCCATGACTCGAAGGTCAGATCCTCCAGCATTTATTTGGTTTTGTCATCGTGGCTGTTGTTCTCAAACAAGGACATTCCATTTACCTTTCTCTCCTAGATGCAGGCACAAATGAGGCCACAGCAAAAACCTCAAACCACGCCCCCCCCAGCAGTGCAAGGACAGAAGCTGGGCTCCCTCACCCCTCCGTCCTCCCCCAAGACGCAGCGTGCAGGACACAGGAGGATTCTGAGCGACGTGACCCACAGTGCGGTTTTTGGGGTTCCAGCCAGCAAGTCTACGCAGCTCCTGCAGGCAGCTGCTGCTGAAGCCAGTCTCAACAAATCCAAGTAGGTGGCTGGTCACTTGGTGTCCGAGGGTACGGAGGGAGGGGATCGATGGGGCTCTTCAGAGATTTCCTAGGCGAAGCACTGAGATGAATGTAGGCAGCAAGCTCAGGTCTAAATAAGTCCTTGCTTTCCCAAGACCATAGTTTGGGGCTTGGCAGAAAGTTGCTGAAAAACTTCCCCAGGGGCAGAAGTCCTCCTGAGCTCTTCTGTGCTTCCCAAAAGCTGAGCAAACAAGCCCTTCCTCTGGATTATAAAAGCCAGCATCGTCCCTGGTGCGTGCTTCACACTTGCTGCTTAGCATCAGTGCTTCCCCAGGAGTACTTGCTAGCTCACTTCTATAGTGTCTACAGGCAGGAAGCTTCCAAATGGGCACTGCAGAAAATTGTTTCAAACAGGATGTTTATGATGCTTGTTTTAATCCCTGACACCAGGATGCTCAACCAGATTACGTGTAGATAAGGCTAACTGGTCCCAGCTTTCTGGGCTTGCAAGTCAATAACTTGTGCTGAGTGTTTTAAGTAGGAATTATAATGCAGTAGCTTTGACCAGCTCGTCGTATAGCCAGAGGATTTCAGATGGGTTATTAATGACTGTTGTTTGGTTGGGATGATCACATCTAGATCTGCTTCCACCACGCCCTCGGGTTCCCCAAGGACCTCACAGCAGAATGTCTATAACCCGCCTGACGTCTCCACGTGGAATCCCTTTGATGATGATAACTTCTCCAAACTCACAGCTGAGGAGCTGCTGAACAAGGACTTCGCAAAGCTAAGCGATGGTAGGTTTATGGAGGTGGCTGAAGACCAGCCTGCTCTCAAAACAGAAGATGGCATGGAAGTGTGGTGCTTTTGGTCAGATGTTGCTGGGGTGCTCCCATATTATCATGGTTCTCTGTGCCTGTATGAGCCAAATCCTTCCAATTTCCCATCTCAGTCCCTGTCCTCTTTGCTATGAGCATGATCCTCAGAGATATTAACTGCTTTTGAAGTAGCCTTGATCTGTTGGATGTAGAAGCTACAGTTTAAACTTTGCTTCGTCTGCAAGTTATGATTTGTGGGAACGGGGTTAAGTCACTTACTGAAATAGTGTCCTAAAAATCTAGGTAAGCAACCTACCATCAAAATGGATGTTTTTCCCCTAAATCTGCATCTGGCATTTCAGGGAAAGCTCCAGAAAAGATGGGCAGTTCCACAGAGAACTTGATTCCAGGTTTCCAGCCAGCTTCATCTGCAACCCAGGCAGATGCATTTGGTGGCTCTTCCTTCACTGCTGGATCAGGTGAGTTTGTGAATGTCCAACAGGGCAATGCCCTGGGAAGCACTGCAGGAAAATGGCAACTCTTTGTCGAGGCCTCTTTGAAAGGGAGGTAAAACTGCTATAAATTGAGCTGGGCCTTGGCACTAAGAACTGTAGGATGGAGTTGGCACCCCAGTAAAGGAGGGAAGGTAGGAAAGGCCCGTGTCCCTGTCACAGTTGGGTTACAGAGGCAGGAGGCACTGTGTGCAGGCCGAGCTGAGGCTTTTGGTGAGACCCTTAAAATAACGAGAAAGCTTCTTAATGTACTGATGTTCCAGGCAGCTCACAATTAGAAGTAAAGTATGTAGTGTGCGATAAGGGAATTGGACTCAGACATTGGTCGGACATGCTGGAGGATGTTCCTTGCTTGCGGCTGTTAGGCTGTGTGAGGGAGAGGAGCAGGGATAATAATGTCTCTGCCACAGAACGAGAACAGCAGACAGGAGTGAGTAGGGAGAACCCTCAGGAAGGCGCAGTTAGTCTCATGATGTACATGTTAAACGGTGAAGGTAAGAAGTCTTGCGCTGGCTGCTCTGTCTGGGTCCAGAGGCCAGGAGTTCTTGGCTGGTTGAAGGAGCTTTTCTGCAGAGGTCTCTGCTTGTGTGATCTTGTCTGGCGTCTCCTTTGGGACTTGAGTACCAAGGTTTTGCCATGAGCAGCCCCTTCTATGCCAAAAAAACTTGGTGAGTGCTGATGCTTGTTTCTAGTTCTTTAGCACCATGCTGAATACAGCAGAGACCTGCCAAGCGCGGTGTTGGAAAACTGCTTCCAGGAGCCCTCCATGCGAGGAATCCTCTTCCCCATCCTGGGCAGTCATTGTTACTGGTGACAGATGGAACTGTTCGATGCTTCCCCGTGGAAGTGCACCAACCCTTGGTGAGAGGAGTCCTGGGAAGAGGCTGGAGAATCCTTTGTGGGGCAAGAAGTGACAAATCCATTTATGCTTATTTCTATTTATAAAAGGAGATTTAGAGGAGCTTGTAACTGCGCTTGGTATTGTTGGCTCTTACCTGAGAATTAAGGAGCTGAAGCCCATGACACAAGTGTGCTCGAGGGGGCTGCTTTCTGAGTTTGTTCAGCGCCCTGGGAATGGTTTACAATGTTCCATCAGCCTTTGTGGAGTGCTGTTGAGTGACAGCAGCTCCAGATTCAGCTGTAATGAACCTTCTGCAAAGCTTCAGAAGCATCTGCATGTTCAGGGCTTTCCGGCCGCTGGAGCATGTTCATTTTGTATGGTGGTTGTCTCTGAAATGTGCTCCTTGACTCTCCTGTCCTGCGGTTTGGCATAGGAACGTGTCTCGGAAATTCTCTTGGTGCTGGCATTGGGCTGTGCACTTCTAGCCCTTTTCTTTTTCTTTCCTCATAGATACAAGCCTGTCTAAGCCTGTCTGATGCAAGATGCTGTATCTTTTATTTCAGACAAAGAGGCCCGACGTGGGGGCTGGCCTGCTGCATGTCCTTTGTTAAGGCATTTCACCTTTTGTGCCACTGTAAAATGAGATAATCGTACTTCCTTTTCAAGGAATGTTTTGAGATCTGTAGGTTGAATTGTGTTGGAGAGCTATGTGGTAATAGTGTTTTTTTGTTTTGTTTTTTTCTTCTTTTCACTAGCAATATAAACTTGTTCTGAGTGTACGCGTGTGTGTTGTTCTTGTCAGGCTGTAGCTTGGACTCTGTAATATTGAACTGTGCTGAGATTTTGTTTGATGCTTTCTGCTTTTCTCTTTTCTCTGTTTCACTCTGCCTTTTCTCTTCCTGGTTAGCAGCTGAAAAAACGAAAGACATTCTGAGTTTGGACGCTAGCCCTCCTCTTCTGACTGTGCCTGATCCTTTCATTCCTCTCCCGCTGTCCGACACGCCAGGTAACCAGAACTGACTTTATGGAGGGGGGCAGATTCTGTTTGTTTTGTATTCTTGGTCTTCTGTTTCTGTTCCTAGGCTCACCTGAACTCCCGGGCCTCAGTCAGTGGTGCTGAGTGCTGCCAAACTGCTGAACTCACTGCAGTAACAGTGTGTAGCACTTTCTGCTGCTGGATGTCTGGGTGGTGGTGGGAGCACAAGAGCCCTTCGTTCTCATGGCAGACCCTGGGGTTGTCTGATTGTTTCTGATGCCAGCAGTGTTGGTGTCTTTAAAGGTTCACTATTCAAAGCCAGAAATAATTGCTGGGTAATTCCCTGTCCTGATCTAAGCCATTTTCAAGTTGGTATCCAACTATGAAATTGTATTTTTTTTATTATTGTTAAGCTTTCTTTCCCGGAAGAGTCTTGGCTTCCGAGGTCTGTTGCAAATGCGTGCTTTGTGTGCAGTGCAGGTTAAGATGTAACCTTTTCTGAACTGGCAAAATTTTCTAGTGCAGTTGGTAGCTATTTCCATTTCCTTTGCAGTACTACTTAAAAGTCTTTCCTGTATGCACATTTCTGACTGCAGCAGCCAACACTTTTTAGCACAAGATTATATAATTGCTTAGGAGCTTATTTGCAAATCAGTGGGATTTGGAATATGGGAAATATTTTTTTTTATCTTGGAGTTTCTCTAAGCCCTCTGGTGAATGTGTGTGACTGGTTCCTTGTCAGCTAGCTCTGGAGGACAAGTGCTTGTTACAGCTCTTACCCTTGTCCTTAGCTCAAGCTGTGGATCACTGGTGGCTTGACAGCAGAAGACCCAAGCTTCAAAATTATCTACTTGTAAATTTGGCATCTCTGTGGAAAGTTAAGCAATTCAGGAAAAAAAAAATATCAATCTATTTTTTTTCTGTAACTGTGGAACTTGCTTCCTTCTGGTTGACGCTCAAAGAGCATGAGAAATATGTTTTGGTTTAGAAGGGATTTTACTCATAAATGCTGCAGTTTGAGAAAAGAAGCAGAACTTACAGGCTTTCTCCCCTAGTGTGAGCGCTTGCCAGGAGCTGCCCTGCCCAGCCGTAGTTTGAAAAGAACCTGCAGAAGGCAGATGACTGCGTGTTTTTCTCCCCCCATTCTACACCCCCCCATCCTACTGCAAGCATTGGTTTTCCTGACTTGAAGTCTGGCAGCCCAGACTACTATTTAAGTCTCTGTCAGCGTGCTCAACGCGTGCAGTTGCACACAGAGATGGTTGTTTTCCTGACTGCCTATTGCATTTTGATGCAGCACAACCATACGAAGCAGCAGTTGCAGCTTTTGCTACAGGAGCTCTGAAATACTTTATAGTAGAAACCACCGCAGAGAAACTGCCTTTCACCCCGCCCTTGGGTACAAATAATCGGAGCAGCAGTTGTCTGCAGTTTTGTGGGGCCGGGTTGCTCATCCCACAGTGTCCCTGATGGGCTGTGTATCTTTGCAGGCAGGTGCTAAACCTTCTTTTGCTCATCTCTGTCCCTGCATGTGTCTGGTCCTGCGGAGTTCAGTGGATCTCCTGTGGGGGCAAAGCGGGGGGCGAGGACATGCAGGAGACCTGGCTGCTTTGGCTTCCTGCAGGTTCCTGCAAAGACATTTCTCATGTTTGTTTTTTTTTACCGTGAAACTTCAGGCCAAGAGCTCATTAATGTTTTTAAGGACCAGAGCTACAGGCATATCCTTAGCTTTGAAAGCTGAGAGGGCTTCTCTGTGCTTGTAAATTCAACAGAAAAGATAAAAATCCTGGATTTGGACTCAGGTTTTCAATCTATGAGTCTATCGTGCAGAATAGAGTCATCGTTGTTCTGCTGTCTGCATTACCTGTGCAGAAACATTCCCACAGCAAGCAGAGAGGCCTTGGACAAGAGGGATGTGCTGACTTGGATGCCAAAGGCGTTTTCAGGTGCGCCCCTTGGGTCAGCAGAGCTGGGATTGACTCCGGTCTCTTAACACGTCAGCATCTCCAGTTGCACATCTCCAAGCTGCCTTAGTTCTGTGCAGAAGCAGCTGAATTTGTTTGAATACTTGCTAAATATTTGCTTTCTGCTTGGAATATTTTTATTTCTGAGAAAAACCTTGATAGTGAATCTCATTGCTTTGAAAACATTTTACGTCAGTCTTTTTATAGACTGGGAGCATGCATAGCCCTTTGAGAAGTAAAAGCGTCAGCCTTTACCCCTTGGTTACAAGAGCAGTGTTGTTCAGGAAGGCTTTCAGTACAGGCATAAGTGAGGCTTTGATTTGGTATTTTCCCTATTTGTCATACAGAGCCAGTTTTGTCAGCTTTCTCTGCTCTAAACCTGTGACAGCTGAGGGTCTGGCTGAGAGCTCAGCTTCTTTATTTGCTTTAGCCAAAACGTGCTGCCTTTGGCACCTGAGGGTGCAGGTGGCATCACTTGAATGTTGGCAGGAGACCTCCTTGTGCTTTTCCACCTTTCCCCTATATGCTCAGAAGGGCAGATGTGCCTTTCTGTAGCAGATTCATGAGAAATAAGTAAACGATGCTTAACAAATCGCCATAGGGTGCATCCTGAGACAGCCTAAATCTGCTCAGGTGGAGGAGCTCACTGATGTGGAGCCGCAAGCCAGGAGATGTGGCTTTGTGTGACGGCTCGCTTGTGGGCTTAGCAGGGTCACACTTCTGGTTCTGTCAGTTAGATGGGTGCAGTAAAGGCAAACCTTGGGCAGCAGGTTCTGGCAGGCTACCCTGTTTGTGGGGTCACGGTGCTGGAGGCGTGTGATGTCTCAGAGGAGGTTGGTTGGTGTGGGTAATGAGCTGCTCAGTCATTGCTTCTAGAGAAGAGGTAACGTAGCACCACGCAGAAGGCAGAAATACCAGCTCTGGACAATAATCAAGTGGCAGGAGAATGGCTTTCGGTATATTCCTCCTTCTCCAACGTGTAATGGCTGCAATTCTTAATAGAATTGTAACGAGTAAGAGGAGCTGGCAAGACGGATGTAAAAATATGACAAAACATCTGTTAAAATAAGGGAGAATTAGATATTCATGCTGAAAACATTTTTCCTTGTGCATGTGCAGGAAAGTGAGCCAAGTTCTTCTTAATAAGCTTATTGCAGGCTTCACTGCTGATTAATCATAACGGAGTATTTGATCAGAATGGTAATTTTTCAGCTATGTGTGGCTACTCAGTGTCTACCAGTATGAATTTAGTATGAATTTAGCTTGTACGAGCATGGGAGGCTAAATTGTGCACAGGGTATTCTGGAGACCTGAAACTAAACTGAGTTAGGAAGCTTCAGGATAGATCTTTCCCTTTGTCACTGAGGCTCTGTTCTGTGAATAGTCCCAAGTTCAGGGTTTTTAAACCTGCTTTGCAGAAGGATTTAATGAGAGGTTTGACCCAGAGCATTGAATACATCTGCTCTAGCCCGTGTTCCTTATTCCCGGCTGAAATGGAAGCGCCCGAGTGCCATCTTGACACCGTTACCTGCGCTCTTCAGACATCTGTTAGGGTCAGGAAGGGTTTTAGACATCCCTCCTTTAGAAACATCTGCTCAGATGAACAAGTTTTTGAGTAAGTGAAGGGTGAACCCAGTGAAATGCCCTCTAAGATATGCTAAAAATATTTTTTTCCAACTGTTTGAGGGTTTGGGATGGGAGGGGGGTGTCTCCTCCTTGCTCCAGTTCCAGATAAATGTTCTCCCAGGTACCTGGTGCTTTCAGCAGGCCTGGCGGCTTCTCCCCTCTCTGCAGAAGAGGAGAGAGATGAGGTGGTGGGTGTGGGTCCTTGGCAGCAGAGCAAGCAAGGAGCTGCGGAGCAGCAGCACTGAGGTGTGAGCGCTGCGAAGGAGCAGCTCTGCTCCTCCCTGCGACTGGGGGGACAAACTCCCCCCTCCTGCAGATCGGCCCCGGGGGGGTGTGTGTGGGGGGTACTGGCGGCCTCTCCGCATCAGTACCGAGTACAATACTGCCTTTGCACAATGAGTCAATCTTTTTTACCCCCTTTCAAAAGAGAATGGATCATTCTTTGCGAATTTACACAACCGTTTGCTCCCTGCAGTAGTTCAGCATCTTGCCTGCAGCTGGGAGACAAGTGTCCCTTTACTGTGGTTATTTGTCTGAACAGCAACACCAAGTGGCCTCCAACACTGTCCTGCCCATAACGGAGATAAGAGAATTTCCACGTCCAGCACAGCTAAGCAAGCACGCAGCCATAGCTGGGGAAGGAAACCCGGGCCACGAAAGCACGGCTGTGCCATCTGGGCACGTGCCGGGTTCTCATTTCTGATGAAAAGGCGCACGGCATTGCGTATTAGAGTCATTGTCACCTCGAAATTCTCCAGAGTTTTTAAACAGCGCTTTAAGGATGGCTTTTTGCCTTTTCATTTCCTTCAACTACTCAGACTTGTGTGTTTTTACATTGGCCTGAGAGGGTGCTTGTCAGGGCTGAGGAAGGAGATACCTTGCAGTGCGGTGTCAAAACAAAACGTGTCCACGCCCTTGGCCTGTTTCTCGAGCTGGCTGTCAAAAAGGTGTGGCCCTGATAGCCATTCCACTCAAAACATAACTGGCTTCAAAAATGAGAGTTTTAATAACGCGTTCCGACGCGCGGCGTCAGGAGGTGGGTGTCCAAGCGTTCTCTGCAGGGTGCTGAAGCAGCACTGTGAGCTGAGGTGAGTCGCGGGCTGGAAATGGGAACTAATCGTGCAGCGTTCAGATCAGATCGCTGAAGCTGGCGGTTTCTAGCACCTGGAAACATGAGCTGGGACTCAAACCACTCACACCCTTGTCAGAACACACAAGTTCAGCTGCTTTAATGGGGCCACTATTACTAATGTAGGAGGTCTCTTATTTTTTGGCACAAAATACTTGATAAAATGTTTTTAATCAGCATAACTCTCTACCCCAGGCCTGTACATCCTGAGAAGATAACTGTGTGCCCACCTATGTCAGGGTGTTTGTAACTACTGCAAAAAACCCCAAACCCTCTATTTCTAATGAGAACTTGTATTGGTATCGAGATGA